AACACGGGCTTAAATAAGACAGAAGGTTTTTTCTTTTGTATGTAAACAAAGACTAAAGGTAAGGTATCCCATTGTCCAGAACTTAGTCACATGGCTAGACAAGCTACAAGGGAGGCTGGGGAATCTAGTCTTTATTCTGGACAATCTTGTGCTTAACTAAAGAATGAGATTTTTTTGTTTGGGGGGTTTTTGGGAGAAGAATAGGGAGAGAATGAATATTGGGAAATAAGCAATCTCTTTTTGGTACGTGAAATGAAATCTTAAGTGTCATAATATATCTTTATTATAAAGTCATTTGTGGTATTTTTCATGTCTGTTTGGTGAACTAATTCCATCCCCATAAGTCTCCTTCCCGAAAGTATGCTCCCCAGTTCACCAGGTAATATGGTCAAAAACAGGGTAGAGAAAATGAGACAGGGAAGGGAGGGAAGCTGATAAAAATATGTTAATGGGCAGGTTACCACTGTGGGCAACTGGGGCTGAGTTCCACTGGGGAAGCATCAAGGAGCTCCGTGGAATGTACCTTAGGATCATCCCTTCAAGGAACAGGGAAGCTGGGAGACTCATCCACCAGTTTCCAAAACTCATTGGTTGAAGGTTGCTTCTAAGGATATTAAATTCCCAGTAATCCCAGGCTTTCCTGCACATAAGCTGAGTCAGCTCAGACAGCACCAAAGTCCTTAACTGGAGAAGCCAAGAGACACAAGTGCTTGAGGTGGGGAGCTGTCAGTGTGCCATGAAGTACTCATCTTGGCGTCAGGTGGACTCAGTGGCGGGCCACAGATGATGGAAGGCAGGACGTTAATACATAGTGTCTTCCGCAGGAGGAATTTTCATTTTAAGATGAGGGAAGGACCAAAGCGGGATTAGAAAGAAGAGTGCGGGCATTTTACTATTGCCCCACTTAAATAATAAACCATTCTACTAAATAAACCCAGATTTAGGTACAGAAGAACCTCAAAGAGAAAATTAAATACACACACGCACACACATGCACCCCCCAGGAATTGTGGGAAACTGAAATGACTGCTCAGGGATGCCCTTTTCTGCCTGCTGTCTCACTGATGGCTTGATTGTGTTTTCTCTGGCAGCTACCTGCTCCCTGATGATAACAAAGCCACCAAGCACAAAACTCTGGTAATAAAAAAGAGTGTTAACCCTCAGTGGAATCATACTTTCATGTTCAGTGGCCTGAATCCCCAGGATATAAAGAATGTTTGCCTAGAACTGACCGTCTGGGACAAGGAGGCCTTTTCCAGCAATATCTTTCTTGGAGGAGTTCGTTTGAATTCCGGAAGCGGTGAGGGACTTGGGGACTCTGAGATAGCCTGGGATGGGACATGGGGCAGGGGAGCGAGTCCTGCAGCTGTGATGTGTCATATCTGTATATGTCGTTTCAGCTTAGCTGACTCTCGAAATTAACACAGATGCGCCATTCATTTAAGCAAGGATGGGTTCATTGTTAAAAATACTACTACATAACTTTGTATCCTTCATCTGGAAGTTTGGGGTGTATAATGCTTACTTTCAGTCCTTTCAGAAAATATCATTTACACTTTAGTCTAAGTGAATTTCAACTACTTGCTTGGGCCTTCCGGTTTTGCTCAGAAGAGGATCACCAGGACAGTGCAGGCTTCTGATGGGGTGGGGTCGGGGAGGCGGAGAAGGACTTCCAAGACTAACTTTACTTCATCCTCTTCTCAGTTCTCTCCGGCGCTTGCAGCCCTTACTCATACTGGTTGAATTAAAAGGAAATCAGTTTATTCCCTAAAAAAAACTACATCTCAGGTGGTTCAAACAGGTCATGGAAACACTCCACTGATGCCACAACTATAGCAGGGTGAATTGGGGGAAAATTACAGCGGTAGAGCACGTGCAGCCCTGCAAAATCTCATCCCAAAGCTAGGGCCAGGCATAGGTGGTCTGTGTGCACCGTGGTCAGCGTTCCTGTGGAGAACGATCCCGCCACTCTGATGGTCTACTTATTTATAGATTAAGGAGAGCCAAGACTATATCTGCTATTAAATGAAAACTGCCCGGTCACAGAAGTGGCCTTGTTTGCAAGGGAGAGCCTTGGAGCCTGTTCTTCTGTCATGTTAACTCAGTCCAGATGAGCCAGCTTTCTGCTTAAACTACCAAAGTGAGGAAGCAGTGAGTCCCAAGGACCATTCTGATTTGTTCCTCATCATCTGGGCAGAAGAGAGTCATGCAGGCTGCAAAGGATGTATTCCATGCTCAGGCCACTCACTAGCTGTGGTGAGGACAGGGCTCTCTGGTCAACAGGCCCCCTCAGAGATTGACAGGTGTCTTCCAGAAGATCAAAACATTTCATTTGTTAAATATAATGCTCCCTCTTCTCATCTTTAGGTGTGAGCCATGGGAAGAACGTGGATTGGATGGACTCTAAGGGGGAAGAGCAACGCCTTTGGCAGAAGATGGTGGACAATCCTGGGACTCCTGTAGAGGGCGTACTCATGCTCCGTTCCAGCATGGGGAAGAGTAAACTCTGAAGGTACCAGTTCTCCTAAATGAGGCCTCCAGGGACTGTCTGGTTGTTACTTCCGACCAGCAGCAGGCTTGGGACCTGGATTCTGCTTCCCTGCCATTTCTCACCTGAGGGTATTGGGATGCGAGGGGAGAGATGTGAGTGTTGCGAACATTTATGGTCTTGCCAAGTGTCTACAAAAGCTTGCACCTCTATGTGTCCAGGGGCCGGGGCTTTCTGTATTTGGATGATACAAGGTGTACCACCCTGTCCTATCAACAAGCAGATTGTGCAATGATTCGTAGGTTTTCCACCAGAAGGGAAATAGCATGTGCTTGTTTGAAACTCCGATTGAGATGGAGAGTCCCCAGATTTATTCTTATTATAAGTTGCTTTAGGTTTTCTCCAGGTCTGAGGGAAAAGGAGGCCACTGGAATGTAGACCACTTGAAGAGTAAGAAGAAGGGATATTGTTTACCTTTTCCTCACCCTGCGAGTCCCCATGATGGAAAGAAGGCATTGTGGAGGTGGTTGCTGGGGTGAGGGGGTGGCCCTCTTCTTATAGCAAACTTGTGGATTAACCAGGTAAGTTTTCAAGACGAGCTGACAGGTTTTTCTCTGGTGACTATATAATTTATAATCTAAATCATCCCACGTTGGGGAGTGAAGAGAGCTAAATCATTATCCCAGAACAGCAGATGTCAACCAGGATTAACCTGAGAGAACTGGGATATAAGGCCACCCTACTTATGATCTAGCTATTAGAGAGCTCTGTTGTAAACATTTCTTTTATAAAATGTTCTAAGCCACTAACTAAAAGGGAATGAGAAATAATACACATTTGAGCCCCTACTTGGGTCACGTCTACTATATCCCATTGATCAAAGGAAGTCACATGGCCAAGCCCAAAATCAGAAGGAAGGGATGAAAGGTTGTGGCCAGTAGTTCAGTCTGCCATACCGCTTGTCCCCTGGAATTCCAGATGCTTTAGCCACCAAACTTAGATGAAAGGTAGTTAAAGGTGAAAGGGACCTCAGACCTGGTTCCTCATTTTGACAATTCCACATGTGACGCCCAGAGAAGAGACATGACTTGCCCAAGATCATATAGAAGCTGTGACTGTATCTGGACTTAAATCCAGGTGTGACTCCTAGGACCATGTTGTTTCCACTGCAGTCTTTGGCATCATCCTATGCTTATTGGGATGGACAAGAAGACTTAGATCAAGGAAGGTGGAGCGAAGTTTGATTATTTGTGTATGAACATACCTGACCAAGTCTTCTTGTGGAGTCATATTCTAGCCCCTCAGCTCATTTTTTCACTTGGATTCATGTCAAATCCTTAAAACGATGGATAATGAATTTTAGTAGTAGGAAAGCTAGAATCATCGTCAGGCTTGTTCTAGCTAATTGTTTCATGTTCTAAATTTCTTCTTGAATTTTGAGGACGAATTTAAGCATATATTTAGTATTATTCTTCGTAAGGGGGATAAG